TCAGTCTCTGTGAGCTATCAGTTTAGCCAGAAAATGCAATGCAATGTTTCAGAGAGCAATACTCTGCATATATTACAGAAGTATTACTAAGCCTGTGCTACATTGGCATCTTATGATCGAAATGACACTTTAACACTGGTCTGCATGCAGTATTGATATGTTCGCTGTGCATTTCTTGCTTGGCAATTTGCACTAACTATTTCTTAACCTTTCCCGAACATAACAGCATCTACATCAATACAGTCTGGGAATCTGAATAGATCTATAACTAATAACATAGTGCAGAGTGAAGAAACGCATGCCACCCAGAGCAGTGGTCCTCGTGTCACATGCAGTGCATCCACTTGATCAGAAAGTTGCCTTTTTTTTCTATATATCTGTGGTTAAAGAAACCCTGCAGTTCTTATTGACAAAGTTTGATGGTTGTCCCCATTCATCCAGCAGAATACACTTTGTTTATGAAAGTTGTGATAGCCAGGTCACATGGGTTTTCGGGGTTTTTCACCACTTGCTATGTAACATGATTTGTTGTACGGTACACTATATTCCTGTGAGATGTACATTAATTATGCATTAGCATGCCTCTTTATGCAGGCATTTGAATTTTCCTAACATCATTTGTACTTCATTGTGTATTATCTTGCTGCTTTCACAGAGAGTTGTGAGGTTTTGCAGGCATTGTGTGAATGATGTTATTCTGTGATATATTACATCAATGCATTCAAATATAGTCTAGTCCAAAACAAAGAGAAGTATGTAAATGTCACACTGGGACTCTCAGCAATGTCTATAAATCAGTAGTTGTCAGGCTTTTGCATGAAACTCAAGTATATAGTTATAAATAACACCACTTCTTCCATTACATTATAAAGCCCAGCCTACCATAAAAGTTAAATAAGTAACCCTAATATTATTAAGTACTGTACAGCAGAGAATAATGAAGCTTAGGGCTTTCAAAAATAACTCTCTGCTAAAGTGAAAATGTTTTATGCATAAGCATGTCAGCTATTCTTAGAACATATGAGACGTTCACTGAAAATCGTATTCTAAAAGAAAATGTGACAAGACTATTTTTTTATTTTATTCTAAGAATGTATTGCATCAACACCGACATAAATATAACCTAGGTTTTTTTTTTACGTTTAACAACATTCACTAATTGTCTACCAAATTATTTCATTGATTAATTATCACGGCCTTTATTTAGTACAAAGAAAAAATAATAATTTACAGTAGGAAGACTGAAAGAACTGGGTTGAAATATATTAGTGGATCTCTCGGTAAAACCTTTTTTTACTTTTGGATAGAGCTGGGTTATTCCCTCTCTCAAGTTTTTATTGCTCTCTCTGTCCCATTTGGGGAGATTGCCCCCTCTATTTGCCCTGGTGATCATTGTCACCAAGAATGAGAGTGAAGAAATACAAAATGTTACAGAGGGGGAATCTTCCTGTTGCATTTTTGAGACCGGAAATGAAAGGATTTTTCCCCAAAATACACAGAGCAAATATTTAACCTAGCAGTGGGTTCACACACATCTGGGCTTAACAGTAAAACTAAACACTAATTAGTCTTTCTGCTTATTACTTGTCAAACCAAGAGTGACCAGTTCTAAGAGTACCTAGTAGTGCTCGAAAACATTTTGTACATTACAATGAGGAGAAAGATAAGCAATGCTGGTGTTTTTTTTTTTTTTAAGTGACACTAAACTTAGTAGTTGAAACTTAAAAATGCATTCTAATACCTTAATTAATTACAAAAATGTATCTTATTTATGTATCACTCAGTTGTAGATCCTCAAATCATCTCTGAATTGGTGCTGACATTGTCCTTCCTTCTGGAGGGTGGCTACTTGCGTTCCCCACGGTCCTTGTGTATTGTAAAGTGGTCACCGCTTCAAACTCACTCCTGTGATGGACTACAAATACAATACAAATTAGTAGAATAAATGTGAGATTGTATTCCATCAAGGGAGCGAGCTTGGAGCGGTGGCTACTTTACCCACACAGGAACCATGGGGAACACAAGTAGCCATCCTCCAGAAGGAAGGACAGTGCCAGGATGAATTCAGAGATGATTTGAGGCTCTTCAGCTAAGTGATTCACAAATAAGATACATTTTTGTTAATAGTTAATGTACTTGAATGTATTTTAAAGATTTACCTCCTGAGTTTAATTTTACTTTAAGGTTTAGGATATTTCAAAATGTTGATTATATATCCTACCTCATGTTCTGATTAAGCTTAGACAATTTGTTGTCTGTCTAGATTACGCTCACCCATGTATTTTTCCCTCTTCCTATTTGCAAATTAATTCTGTTAAAAGGTTACTTTGTTGAAGGCATTGGTATAACCATGCTGATTTAAGATGCTAAATTATAATTGAACCTGTCACACTTCCACAATCTTTCTTTGCTGTAGTGCCTTGGTTACAGGCAGCCCAAGTAAAGGTATGCAAAACTAAAGTAGAACTTAAAGCGAACCTGCCCGAAACATGGGAAATTCACACTGAGAATATGTTGGAAAGAAATACATAAACAGAGGTTGCCTTCAGTGACTGCATTTCAAAAATAGTGATCAGTAGTCACAGATAGTTCTAT